ATGTCTAAATCTGTCAGTATATGGATAGACAAAGCATCCAATCCACCCAACACCTAACAACCCTGTACTGTCTGCCTCTCATAATATAGCCACCAGTCAAACCTATCATCCAGGAGATACTGTGTTCAGCCCACAACATAGGTATACCTCAGGAAGCAGTCATTTCCTTTTCCCTGTCCTTAGTTTTTGCATGTTCAGCTCTGTCAATCTCCCCAGAGTCCAAGTACCTATATAAAATGTGCAAGTGCAAAGCACAGACAATGCAGCAAATAGGAAAATGAGAAAATATGATGATGATGAGCCAGAGACCAACAAGTGAAAGCACCATAGTGCCAGATTAGATATCTACAATTCTAGATATGGACAAGCAGTCTCCTTTAATAAAACATTTCACCCACCCACCAGCCCTGTGCACTATCTGTCCCCATTATAGGCTTGTTGCTGGTATATATATTATGGTTAATTTGAAGCCTATATACTAAGGAAATAGTTGGTACAGAATGAATAATCATCAGGAAAACTCAATCGGCCTGGGCATCCGAGCCGTAGCTGTAAGTATTTGAAAAAAGTCCCCGGATATAACCAGGGGGTAACGTTTTCACAGGACCCGGATACAACCAGGCCGTGGTTCTGTCCAGCACAAATGCCTGTGCTGTCCAACCCTCGGCCTTTGTCGGCATCACTGCTGATCCATCATCATCACAATGATCACATGTGTTGATCATCGGGGGAGCCGTTGCTCACCCGCCATACTTCCCACCCATCATCACCCATCTGCCAAGCGCCACCGCTCAGCCGCCATTGATGGCGCATCAATATAACATAAGCACTGCTTGTTGCGCCTGCCCTGCTGCTTCAATGCATATATACTATGAAACTATTTGTATTATCTAGTTAGTTCCCTTGTGGATCAGCCTTGGCAGACATATTCCAGGGGCACAGGTTGCAAGGACAAGCACAATGGGAAAAAATGATGCAATATGCAGGTATTAGCACTTAATTCTCAGCTAAATGAATACCAGTGTAGTGTATGAGTAGCAGGAGCATGCAAGATAATATATAGTGCTGGAAAGGCACTTAGGAACAGGTGGGATTCAGCATTGGGTGTATATTGATGCAGGGTAACACGGTCACATGATCTGTATTACAAGCGTGTTTCTGACTGTATGTGGGGGACTTGTCACTACTATGAGGGATTAATATGCCTGTGGAGATATTTAAAAATGGATTGTACAGCCTGCTTAGCCCACAGCAGACCAGGCCTTCCAGTGGCCTGCACAATATTCTGTTTATTCTCCCCTTGTATAGATTGGGAAGATGACTCTTTATACCTTAGAAATGACATGAGGTGGAGAGTACTGCATAGTACCCCAGTTCAAACTCAAATTTGATCCCAAATACCAGTCAAGAGGCTGCAAGGAAAGCATAGTATGTTCTCCTGATGGCCCATCAAAATATTTCTCTTTCCTTCATTCTGGCTTGCCATAGTCCAAATCTGTGTTGGGAGACCATAGTCAGGTGTTCCTAGCCACAGAACCCAAAAGCAATGAAATTTATTGGTGGGACATAAATTGTAGCAAGTAAAAAGTGTCGGGCCATACATGTTTTTGAACTTCTTGCCTAGTGCTGGCCAAATATGATTATATTATTTTGTGGGCATAATATATTATAATCATATCATATTCAGAGCTCCGACACAATAATATATTTGTAGTATAGTATAATCATATTCAGCTGCAAAATATGAATATGTTATGAATATATTCAACTATAATCCTAGTATGCATATATGCTGCTCGAAAAAAAAATTAATACATAAGATACATGCTGGATTGTAAGGGCAACTTCGTTTTGGGCCTCTCTAATCCCAGCCTTGGATACATAGGACTCTCAAAATACAATCAGGGCATTGCCACTAGTATTAGGTTGACCATTAGACACTTCATTAGGGGTTCTATACTACATTTAATAGGGAATCCAAAGTGATCACTCCTGACCCTAGGAGTAATGTATAAATCAGCATATATAATAGATAATATGTGACATTTATCAGAAGTAGGGCTAACTCAGACTAAGATTAGTACTATGACTGACTACATGCACTGAGAAAATAGCTGTGATCATCCATCTTACTATAGTTGAATATTCTGTGACTATAATATAGTATAGTCATAACATAATATAATATATTCAAACATAATCATATTCAAGTGATCCACTAAGGGCATAATATATTCATAATATTCTGAATATATTCAATAATTAATCAAACATAATATAATTCTGGCCAGCACTATTCTTGCCTACTTTTCACAACCTTGCAAATTACTTCTTCCCTCCTGCCTTTAAAAATCCAAGAAAAATTAGGGACCATCCAAACACAGTTACTAACAAGCAGTACTCATTTCCAGGATCATTGGGCCAACGGGAATGTCATTACAGTCAATTTAATGGCTCCCACTTTTGGAGGCGAGTTCGCGACCTTTTGAGGCGAGTTCGCGACCACCCTTCAGTGCTGATTTCCGCGGTCCAAACACCGTCAATCACAGATGCGGCATTCGATCTGACATTGACATCTATTCAAATGTGGCCTAATGTCAACATGTACTCGACAGATCCCACATTTCCGACTCTTCTCCGACTGCTTCCCCAGCCCAGGAGCCAGCGCAAGGGCAGGCACAGCAGCCAGCGAATGGTTGAGTGCAGACGAGAGGGCGGCACCGCGGGCACCGCAGGGCGGGTTTGAATTTGATGGTCATTGGATGGCGAGCATGGAAGCAGGGAATGCCGAGGAGGTGGTGAGCTGTGGTGAGCAAGCGGCGTTGGTGCGGTCTGCGAACGGCATTAACGCGCACGGGAGGGTGAGCCCAATTGTGTGTAGCTGTGTTGCGGGAACCGCGAACCGCGAACCGGAGCGGCGGGCGGCGGGTTGACACCGAGCAGAGCGGGAGAGCGGACGGCCCATAAGTGCGGCAGGCGCTGCAATGAGCAACGCGGCCAGCTGCAGGCCAGCGCCGAGTGGGAGGGTCAGGCAGCTGGCCTGCTTCCGATGCGGAGGCACATGGACTCGGAGCTGGCCACGCTCGCAATATGGAGCCCGCGGAGGCAGGAGTCAAGAATGCGGCGGCGAGAAGAGCGCCGGCACCGTTGCCAAGGCCGCCGGGTTTGCGTAAAAGTAGTCGGTGGAGCACAAGTCATGTGCGACACGTAAGACGCGCCGAAGCGCCGAAGCAGCTGTTATGCTGCGTATAACCAGAACAACCAGTGCCTGGTTAGAACCAGCTGTTTGCGAAAGCGGCGGCGTGTCTGGGCACCCACCCATCATCCGTGATGGTTGTGGCATTGGCCGGACGGCCGAGGGTCGCCTGATGATGGTGCTGGTGATGCAGATCAGCTGCGTCGTGTGGGTGCCTGGCGACGCCAAGTGGATACAACCGGCGCCTGGTTGTATCCGGGTTCCGTGAAAACGTTACCCCCTGGTTGTATCCAGGGAATTTTCCAAAGGTGTCCAGCCACGGGTGGGCATCCTGGTGCCAAGGCTCCCAGGCCGGTCCCAGGCATGCCAGGCTGCCAAAGTCTGTCTGGCCCCATTATTGACATAGCAAGCGCCAGAATTTATTTTGGCGCCAGAATTCCTCCAGAATCTTAACAAGGTGGTTCCAATGCTCACCAATCCCACTAATTTTACTCCAAATTATGATAGAAAATAGATATATTTGACTGTTCTATAGTACATGTTGTAAAACTATACACATGTGCGAACAGCTGTCCCTCCACGCACTCCAACTCTCGAGCTGAACGCGCAACAATAGGCCCGCCGTCCCGATGCTGCGGAAACCTGACCTTCCCATTGTTCCTTGCTGTGGACACTGGGCGCTAGGCAATGGTGTGAACGGAAGTCGCGGGGTCGGCCGAGATCAGAGTGAGGCCATCTCGAAATTGGAGTGAGGCAGGGGGGACGGTGGCGGAGATGGAGGTGGAATTAGACGCGGGTAGTCGTCATGGATTCGTGTTGGCCCGATTGTGCGAGCGAGGGATAGAGTGAGTGAGAGCGACATACGTTCGTTGCAGATGGCCAGTCTACATTCAGAAGCTTCAATGAGGGAGCGGACAGCGAGAGGAGGCGCACCTTTGCCAATTTGTCGGTGGGAATGGAAGGCCACCATGACCAGCCCTTCCAGGAAGAGAGCAGCGAGCCAGACGACATGGGCCGCCAATGCACGAAAACAGGCCGGAAAGTGGGAACGCGAGAGTACACACACACACTCCACCTAGGTTCCCGTCTCCGTCTTTGCGCGCGGAGGATGAAGACGATGTGCTGGAATATGTTAGCACGAGAGAATGTCGGGCAAGGGTGGACATACGTGGCATAGACGGGCCATGCATCCGAGAGGCAATGGCCGAAAATGTTTGTGGTACTGCAGTACAGGTCAAAAGGAACATCCACAAGGAGCGCCTTACACAGTGGTGCGAGCAGTGGAGGTGGGGAAAATGGAGGGGCAGTGATGCTGGACTTAGAAGATTTTCGCTCCCTAAATACTGGCAGATTGCATCAACTTCTGGCACCAGCAATCACAGCCAAGCCAGCTATGGCCCAGCCGTGCCACATTGATGCCAGAATTCGCATGACATTTGCCAGGCGTGCCAACCACTCCAGGCGGATGGAGTTTTGCGGATGATCATGAATAATGGATGACCTGAGGCACTTGGCCTGAGTTCAGCACTGTTACACCATGTCACATGAGTCACACAATATAACAAAGGTAAATGGACCTATGCAAACTTGGGTGTAATAAGTCCATGAAAATGTCACTGATTTGAATGTATTAAATGACCATTTTTACCTGTTTTTCTCGCGGGAACGAGGCCCGGGTGTGGGCATTGAAGAAACTTTTCCTAATCGCAGGCTACAACGCAGAAACTTGAATCCGATTACACCGCTATATACACTACACCCGAATCCGCGAGCAAGTAAAATAAATATTTTTCAAGTGTCCGCGTTACGCGGCCTTGGTCTCCGCACTGAAGCTCCCCGGGCCGAAGCCGCGCGGGCCGAGCGCGCCGTCCACGACCTTCATCATCGCGAGCACCTTCTCGTCCTCCCACTTCCGGCCGACGACCTGCACCGCGACGGGCATGCCGGCCATCTTCTCCGCATTGTACGCGGGGCTTTTCGCGTGGTGCGCCGGCGCGAGCGGGGACCCGCCGAGGTAGAGCGCCTTGTACACCGTTGTCAGGGGCATGTCTTTGGGGGGAGACGTCCACTCTGGCGTGAGGGCATCGAGCGCGGGGTCGATGCGCGTGACGGGGAGTACGCCGACGGGCGAGTTCACGACGTTGTACAGCGCCGTGGCCGAGACTATTTGGAAGACGCCGGCCCATGAGCCGAGCGGGATGTGCGGTGTCGCAAGCATCGGCGCGATGATGCCGTCCAAGTTGTGTTTGTTCCAGATCTGGTAGTATGAGGAATGTGAATGAGAAGAGAGACAGCAAGCCAACCTCAGCGTAGAACTTTGTCACGTAGTCGTCCCGGATGGCAGTCCACTTGAACAGCTCCTCGACAGACTTCTCGCCGTTCGCCTTGAGGAGGCGGCCGAGCTGCGGGTCCTTGAACACGTTGTTTGCGGCCCAGACGATCATGTTACGGATGAACACTGTGTGACAGTGAGTCGCAATAGACATGTTGAACGGCAATAGTTACTCGGCAGCCGTGGCATGGACGCAATTGGCTTCATCGCGTCGTCGATGGGGTCGCTCCCCGGTCCGGCGAACAGCGTGCGGTACCCGTCGCCACCGCATAGTGCGAAGTAGATGTTCAGAGCCGTCTCCGCTGCACTCGTTCAGCAACACCTAAAGCGTACATAACCAACCACTTACGCGTGGGAATCTCAATCTCAACGCACTCATGCCCCTGCTTCCTCAGTGCCGCCACAGTCTCTTGGACCGCGCGTTTCGTCGCCGGGCTCGCTTTAACGTAGTAGTCCGTATAGTAGCCGAATCGCAACCTCTCCGGCAACTTAGGCTCCCGATAAGGGATCGGCGCGACGAGATGGCTGCGGCCCGGGACACCCAAGAGCAGTTTCGCGAATACCTCGAGGTCCTCGACGGTGCGCGCCATTGGGCCAGCCACCGAGATAATGCCGTCGAGGCCGGGGCACGGGTCAACCGCGCCAACATATGACACGCGCTGCATCGACGGCTTCAATGAGTATGTCCCGCAGGAGGCGGTCGGTACTCGGAGCGAGCCGCCAATGTCAGACCCGACACCAAATGCTGAGCCATCCATGGCCAGCAGCGCAGCCTCGCCGCCGGATGACCCGCCGGAAGAGTAGAATGCGTGGTAAGGGTTGTTGGTCGCGCCCCAGACGGGGTTCCCGCATTCGAGCGTGAACAGTGTTTGTGGGACGTTCGTTTTGATTATTGGGATGGCACCCGCAGCGCGTAGGACAGCGGTAACGTCGGAATCGGTCGCGGCAGGCTTATTGAGCAGCTTGCTGTACCCCATCGAAGAGTCGTACCCCCTGATATCGACTGTGGTGATTGATTAGCTTATAAAATGCGAAGACCTGGCTATGTCGTAGGCTTACATTGGTCCTGTCGAGTGTAAGTAATGCGCAAACGAAAGAGAGATGGCTAAAACACACCTTCATGCTCATCGGCACACCATGCAGCACACCCCTCAGCTTCCCCGTTTTCGCAAACTCATCATCAAGCGCTTTAGCCTCCGCCACCGCATCCTCGAAGAGAACTATAACAATTAGGTCTCACTCCTTAATCTAGCCAAAAAAAAAAGACGTACTCTCTGTGGCGCAATTTGTGGCCCCCTGTGCCACCGCCGCCCGTGCGATATACGCTTCCACCACCTGCGAGGCCGTCCACTCGCCTGCACCAATGCGCCGCACAATCTCTATCGCGCTCACCTTTAAGTATGGAGCATGGGAGGCGGAAGCAGCGGGCGCGAGAGAAATGGCTTTAGAGCGGGCAGCGAGCTTCGGGGCGGTGAGAGCCTTGAAGTCCGGCATCGAGTAAGTAATAAGTAGTTTGGGGGAGATAAGGGGAAAGGAGGGGAAGGGGAAGATGGGAAGTGGGCGTATAAGACAGCGAATTTGTGGCTCGACAGACGGCGATTAGGGTGGAAGCTCGGGGAGAAGATCCCGCCCGAGCGAGCCCTGGGCATCCGCATATCGTCGCACGACGGATGGTAACTGGGACGCGTCGCGAGTGAAACGCTGATAACGCGTAGCTAGTGGGCACTATAGATAGTTCCTAGTGTGCGATGCGATGCGACGCTGGTGACTGCCGGCGGACCAGCGTGGGGGATCCGACTATACAGAGCGGCGCTCGTGTCAGAGCGGTGTATTGGCTATCTATAGATAGCACGACTGTTGATATCATGATAGCCCTGTAACAGCCTATCAGCCCTTCGCTGTTGAAGAATTCGAAGCCCAAAGTGCTTACGCCGCAGGTAATCGTCACCGCCGTGGACGCAGATGCGGATACGCGGGAGGCTAGACAGCGGGGAAGCTAGCTGCAAAGAACCCAGGATCGTCTGTCGTTGAAGAGACGGACGGACAGATAACAGATAGCAGTTCGGCGATACTCTGCTGACAGGCCCAGCTGCCAACTATGGCAGCCATAAGCACAAACAACGATGTCGCAGATGCGCCATGGACACTAAGCGGAGTTTGTCAGCACACAACTAGTACTGAGCGGGCACTCACTCCGTAGAACACGAACTTCGGCGCCGTCCCCCTCATCGGCGCTTTCGTCGCTCCTTTCTGCGCCGTTGGGATGGGACGGAGGCAGAAGACGAAAAAACGTGGGAGCCCATCTGTCATTGAGTGACTGATCATCGTGATATGTGTGACCGCATGACTGATCACGTCAGCACTTCTTTTTCTTTGCCACGTCGACCGACCTTTCCCGCGACTCACGAGGGTTGGTGGACTTGCGCACGCTGTCCGCCGTCCGTTGGAACAGAGATGGGTATGATGGGCGGACCTCCGTGGTGGCGCGCTCCGACCACTCCCTTTACGAACTCACCACTTCAACTACTTGCCCCAGGCCTTCCTGAGCACCGGGGCCCGATGCTAGCGTGAACACCGCGCTTAAGCTTGTCCTATCTCCACAATTCGACCAGGCGACAATATACGATATGCCAAGCTGCGATACGTGTACCAACTTAGGTCAATGGGGAAGAGACTAGTACTGCAGCTCGCACGGGCCGATTTTCGGTACGTGTGTCGTCGGTGCTTATGCATCATTCGATGACTAAACTACTTCTGATTCCAGGTGCTTGATAGCTCGGACCCGGCGTCGCTCGGCGGGCTTTCGGCTATAAGAGAGCCGGGGGAACGAGCGGACGCGAACGAGGAGATCTCGAAGCACGAACAAAGACACAGAGTGGAACGAAGGAGGGGCAGAAGGCGTCCGACGATGCTTTGTCGAGTTGGCGTTGGTGACGGTTGGGCGGCGACTTCTCGGGAGCTCTCAGAAGGCTTCTCACTGAGTTAACCTCCATAAACCGTCCGCAAACCGCCGATCTCCAGCCAACGATGCTCGTGCCCTCTCGTCATCTCATTCATCGTCCATCTCATTCTGCACCAACTTCGACAATTGTTTGCGGCAAGGCAGATCACAGTTTTCGACGAGCCATGCGCTACGGTCTGCCACCGCTAGCCGACATGCCAGTCTGCCCAGCTGTTGCGCATTCGATTCGACACGGAGTACATGCCCATATAGAGTAAGGATCACCGAACTCTCCTCGACATCATTATTGGCCATAACTTCTGCCCAGTCTCCGCGTCCGAGTCAGGCCGGAGAAGCCCACGGAATATGGGCAAGTGGTCGCTGGGTTACTCTTCCAACGTCGACATTCGAGTTCACTTCAACCGCGCCCATCCGCTCTTCCTACAAATTTAAAACAATAATGTCGCTGTCGCTACGCCCGCCATCGTCTGACGACTGAAACGACGAGACACGGGCTGACCGGACAGCCCGACACTCACCCCATTCATTCTCGGATAGAATACCCTCGCAGACTCTATTCGTGGTATGCATCCGCCTCCGCGGCACGCCATGATCTGCAATTGACTGATGGCGCCAAATGTGGAGGTCGCTGACAGGTCGCGGCGAGACACTATCAGCGATGTGCCACAGCCTGACTTCCTATGTTCCATCCTTGCTTCGCGGCGCGTGGGCTCCTCTTATAGCACCCCCGCGCATCGCAAAACGAGCTTCCCCTTCGAGCTGCGTCCACATCCCGTCTCTCTTTTTCTCCCTCTTCGACTATTGGCATGTCCGCTGAGGCGTTTGACCCAAACCCGACACTGGGTGGGTTCTTTATCTCTGGCAGGCGGAAAGCCGGCGCGTGGGGACTGCAGGCTAAGCGATGTAATTTGCAGGCGCGCTCCTTGTCGGCACCTTGGCTGGCGCTGTACGTTCTCTCGTTATGGCTGTCTCGCCCACGCTGATCGAGCGCGCCCTAGATTCTTTTTGGTGTATGCCTCCTCTTCCTCCTGGGTCTTTGCAGGAGTGGCTACTGACCGAGGCTGGGTAGGTTACAACCGTCCAGGCGTACATCTATCATACGCGGTTCCCCGATGACCACTGGATGATCAAGGCCACCGTCGCATTTATCTGGTACATATCTACTCCACTTTCCCCTGTCCTGACGACAGATGCATATGGAACGCGCTATCTAACCGAGTTTCCAGGGCCGCCGAGGCCAGCCATGTCGGCGCTGTCTCGCACACACTGTACACCCTCCTCGTCACCGACTACGGCCACCCTGAGGCCCTCCTGGCTCGCCCACCGCGCTCCATCATCGGCTATATATTTATCACCGTCACCGTCGCTGTCACCGGTACGCCCATTACGCATTCACTCTCAGCTCAACGATGACGAATCCTCCACAGTCCAGATATTCTTCTCATACCGCATCTATGTGCTATCTAAGTCGCGCATCATCCCGTACATCACATATGCGCTCTCCTTCGTGCGCTTCGTGCTCGGCGTGTCGCTCTTCTCCGTCGGGCTCAGCGTGAAGAGCGTCACCGAGTTCGGAACCAAGTGGCAGTGGCTCGGGGTCACCATGTGGAGCCTGAGCGCCGCGGAGGACGTCACGATCACCGCTACACTCGTGTTCCTCCTCTGGCGCCAACGCGGGAAAGTGCACAAATCGTGAGCTCGGTGCTCTACTTCGTCTTCCGGGGGTTGACCGCGTGCAGGACGACTGCGTTCTTGGACAAGATCATCATGTGGGCCATTGGTGGGCCCCCATTCTTGTGCTCGGCCGCAGGCTAACCTGAGTGTAGAAACCGGCCTGATGACCTGCTCGCTCTCGTTGATCACCGTCATCCTCGTGCGTTACAATCTCTGACCTTTGGCGTTGGGACTCATTTGTGCCCGTTTATAGTTCCACAGACGGCCCAACGATTGTGCGTAAACTCCCGCTTTCGTCTCCTGATATTAACCCACTGATGACAGTTATCTGGATCGCATTCTCCACGATTGAGGCCCGGAGTACGTCTGCACCCTGCTTGTCTTTATTTCCGGCTGATCTTCTCTCCAGTGTTCTCCAACTCCTTGCTCGCGAGGTAACTACTCATCTGCGCGATTTGAACTACTCTAAGTCAGTCACCAGTCTCAACTCCCGCCACGTCCTCCGCGAGCTCCGCGAGGGCGGCTCGAAGAACGGAGGCGTCCTGTCGCTGACCAACACGGTGAATACTACTGTTGTCCATCCCCTTCAACTGACGCCGCGCAGAACTACATGCGGCCAACTTACGCGCCTGGACCGCCCACGATCTCCGTCGAGGTACACACGACGCACGACGTCGAGCGCGACCTCGACTCGGACAGCTCGATGCGCAAGGGCTCGGCGTACTGAGCGCGTCGATGCTGTGCGGGGGCAAAATCATACCCACGGGTTGACTGTTAGCCATGGACTGTGTTTAGTTGTTTATGTTTATTCGGATTGTAACTACTGGCGGCGGTAGGATAGGGTAGTCTGAGTGTGTAGATAAGTTATCGAAGTAACTATGTACCGGAGGGTTTGAATATTGTGGAACTTGGGTTGACCCCGGCCGGCTAAGTATATGTAATATATAAGTTCCTTGAGCCAGAACCCAACGAGTACAACGAAAAACTGGTGACCTTGCTTGTATTTCCCATTCAAGTCGTATCTCTCTCCCTCCACAGGTAAGATGTGGGTTCTTCCTGCGTTTCTCCGCTCATCGCATCGTTCGGTTTCCAGTCACCCTTGCCGGCCGGATCCGATCGTCATGATCAGCGGTAATTCGGCGCTGTAAATACCGCCCATCGCCAAGGTATTTTCATGGACATGAATCGGTGCATGTGGCCACGGCGCCACATTATGTATATCCATGTGATCGATTGTTAGATAGCTCTGATGCGAAAAGGACGGGTCGAACGTTCCACCTGACATTCATGGGAATCCACGCGGCGCCAGGGAGGCATTTGGAGGTATTTAAGAGAGGCTTCACCAACTTCGACCTTGCTGTCTCTCCCTCAATCACTTGTAAGCTATTTCTTAGTATGCCCTTTGAAGGTTTCACATGCCTTCAGAGCTATGGGATTTGGAAGCACACTTACCAATGGTATTCAAGATGTTTCTGGCTTTCTGCCTATCCTGGGAACTGATCAATGTGAAAAACATATTGGCTCAGCTCTGGAAAATGGCTATCTTTATGCTGCTGCAGCTCCACTATCTATATTTGGATGTCTTGGTATTGTCAAGGCCTCCCTGGCTATTTTGATTGCAAGCATCAACTGGCCTTTTCATGGTGCCAAAGTATTGCATGATGGAGGATTTGAACTGGTAGGCTCTGTAGCCTCTATGATTGGTATAAGCAGCAATATGCCACTCAACTACGAGGCTGAGATGCGTGTGACCAAATGCATATCTCAAGGCCAAGAGAACCCCAGAAACTCATATCATACCACAATATTTGCATTTGCAGAATGGAATATCTGCCTGACTGCGGTAGCTCTTGTGCTTTCCTGCTTTGCATGGACACCCTACATCCTGATTATCATTCACAATCATGGCAGGTTTCTGGCATGGGTTTTCCCAATGCTGCGTATCCTAGGTTCTCTTCTATGTGCTCTTTCAACACAGTTTGTACTGCAACAGCAGATTAAAATGATTCTTAGGAGAGACAAATCATCTATTGAGCTGCAACTATATAGGAAGCGGGCACTCTCAGAGCCTATTGGTGGATATGACCCCAAGTTACTGTGGGGCCTCCGTCTCTGTCTGGTAATTGGCAGTGTGTCCACCAGCATTGGATATATTGGATGTTTTAACCTTGTTCAGTCTGCAACATCACTGGAAACATTTTTGTGGTTGGGCTTAGAAGTGTTCTTATGTTTGCTGCGAATCTTGCTCTGGTCATTAAATCCTGAATGGGATGAAACTATGTTTTGTCTCTTGGAATTGCAATGGCCAGTCAAACCACTGATCACCACAACATGTAACATCAGATTTGAGGATATGCTGCCTAATCAGAACAACCCACAAGAGTTTGAGAGCATTCCTCAAGAGCACTTTCTTGATGCACTACAAAGCATACCCCACCTTTCAGAACAACAGAGAACATCCATATTAGTTTCTTCCATGACTTTGCATACATTATTGGCTACTTCAGGAGTTGTCAAGGTTTTGAATGGAAGGCAGGGCAGCTTAAGCAATTTAGGCATGACAATAGTTAGGGACAACACTTCCCTATATCTCTTGGTCACAATTGTAGAGAGCATAGCTAGCAGATCAGCAGAGAATGTTGTTCCCACAGGTTCTGTTATTGTCTACAAGCAAGGAGATGTGCAGCCCTATGGTATATTTGAAGCTAGATGTTGTGAAGTCTCTGGGCGTCTTCAGGTAAAGCTTACACCGCCAACGAGTTTCCGGCTATGACACAGCCGGAAAACTCCCGGTGGATACATCTGATGCCCAGCTGGTTCCCGGATCAGCGCCACATGGTTACCATGTTTGGTCGCAAATGGATCCACTCTGGGTCCAGAGTGTCTGGAAACCAGCTGGACATCCAGGGAGACACCCTATAGCATATTTGGTAGGGTATATATACAAGCCATCCGATGGTCTGACTCCATTAGCTGAATGCAAATGAACAAAAATTAGATATTATTACGGGGTACTACATATGTACATGGCCACTGTAATACTACCACACTCGCAGTGCTTGCAATGCTTACTCCGCCGCCAAGCGCAAGCAACGAGGCTGCTGAGGCCACAGCTGTTGTCGTCCTTGAAGTCGAGCACGAGGGCAACATAGTCGACACTGCGGCAGCGGCATGAGTTAGCAAGTTCCTCGAGCAAAGTGGCGGAGCTCACCGCCGAGATGATTGAGTTTCACGTGAAACGGCCAAGAGATCGGTGCGGGGGTAAGTTGACACTGGCCACCGTTCGTTGTTCCAGCACAGTGACCGGCCAGCGCGATGGGGACCGGCGCGGGCAGGTCCGGCATGACCCACACGAGCGCGATGAACACCCAGACGCCCGTCTCGATGAACATCCCCGCACCCGCGGACGACAAGTCCACATACTGTGCGTCCCATCATCAGCAGCGTGCCCACTGGGAAAGTGACGCTTACCAGAATTGCACCCTCTAACTCACGGCCCGCTCAAGGAATCCCACCAGTTGTTGCGAGGTTGCGGCCCTGGCATCTTGCAGAACCTAACTGCTTCTGTCAGGAGCGGTTAGCAGGGGAGGGAGGCACACACCCGATGACAGCCACATGCTTATATCCTCAAGCTCATCCAACACCTGCCGGCCAGCCCTTGGCCCGTGGGAGCGCGACAGCATGGGTGAGGTGGATGATGAGCTGAGTGGTGAGGTGGATGGTGAGGCGGGTGGTGAGGCAAGGGGGAGAAGAAGGGGGAAAAGAAGAAAAGAGGCTGAGTGTTACGGAAATGTGACGCCCGAGAATTTTCATGACCCAATATGGGAGCCGGATCAAATTACGGGCGCTCGATCGCTGATTCTAACTGTCAGGTACCACCTCAAGTCCAGTGTTGCCAGACCGGCCGGCCCTAAAGTCATCTTTTGTGGCTTTAATTCTTTATTGAATTTCTATAACATCTGTAGCTGTGGACATAATATATAGCAGGAAGGCTGGGTTACAGACAGACACAGCACGTGGATTCCAGCTGGAATTTCCAGCTGTGGGAATCTGCTGGGAATCAGGTGGAAACCAGCTGGAACCAGATGATAGGTTATGTGGACACCAGCTGGAATATTCAGCTATATCATAGCTGCGAACACTTTGGTGGTGTACAAATTGGTTAACATTCCCTGTTAGAGGGATCACAGAGGAAATCCTTGGCATCGTGAAGGATTCAGCAGGAGAAATTTCAAGTGCTCTTGAAGATCCATCTATTGAAAGCAAAAGAATGAATATCTCTCTGTCTGGAAAGTTCAAAAGTATGGATCTAGGTAGCATGATACCTATCTCAGTATAAAAAACTGCTTTTGTACATTTGACAATTAGTTACCTCATATACTGGGTTTTTAACCACATAAATTGTGTATGCAACTGCTTTCTGACTTTAATCAATAAGTATGAGGAGGGTGTCATACATGAGGCATGACATATATAAACTTTCATATCAATTTGGAGTCCATGTTGACTCTGTTTTCTCTTATAATCTGAAGTACTTACAGACAGTGCTCCCAGTGCCCTGGAATTCAGAGGTAAGGCTACAATACAATACTTAATATATTGACTTGTAACCCAATACAACCCATATATATATACAGGGTAGCAAAAATTTTCCGGGCGGCTTGATGAGGTAAGTCACCGCCGGCCGGTGACAGCCTGACGGGGCCGATGACAGAGGGGCCGGCCCAGTGAGCGAGCCGCGCATAAATGCCGTCCAGCACATCAGAACACATGCTCATAGGCCGCACATGTGTCTGCGGCTACTGCTGTGGTTCCGGGAGCCCGATTCACGTGCCAGACACGTGTCCGGGCATCCCGGATATGTCACGTGCCTGTTTCGAAACCGCGGTCGGGCCGCAGACATTTCAAAACTGACACCTGTTTCGAAACCGTTTCGAAACGGGTTTCGAAACAGGTTCAACTCACAGCACCCTATAGTATAGAGTATATACTCTATACTATTGAGTGTTCTCAGAGGTATATATAGGCAGTACTGTAGTATTTTACTTAGTTCACATGTCACACTTACCATAAAATTCGATGTCACACCATTTTGCTCAAATTTGTGTCCCATAAAGGCAATTCCTGACATTTCTGGGTGCAACCTCCTAATTACGCAATGATTCGAATTCAATTTTTTGTATCAAATGTCACGCCATTTTTGGTATTTGAATTGATATCAAACCCATGGATGTTTCCTTGCGGGTACCTGTGATGCTTTGCATTCCCATAGCTGCTCCTATCTCAGCAGATATTCAAACCCTATACTGTACTATTTTAATCAATTCGTCACCTGCCAACCTGCGTGACATGTGCGACGAACTTAAACTTTCGTCAGGCCTTCCCCATTAGGGAATTTTGGCGCCGGAGGCGCCGGATCGGACGGAAAATTACCATATATGGACCAATTTGGGGCCAATTTCTGCCGGATATGCGTGACTGACGAAAAAATTTCGTCGGCTTGAGCCCTGTGTGACGCGTGACTGACGAACTGATTAAAATACTACAGTATAGCAGCAATATTCCAGAGCCAGAGCCAGAAATAGAATGAATAGGATGCTCTCCAACAAGCTATAATATATATCCTGCAGGACAGTCACCCAATCTCAGAGATTTGTCTATGGTGCAAAAATCCTCAATGAGGAAAATTCTGCAATGCCAACTTGTGGAAAAGCAGAGAAAAATATA